TGGCTCCAGTAATTCTGGAGACTTGTATTATTTAAGACATTTTCCCAGCCTTGCCTTAAATAGATGAATTGTAGATTCAAGGTTATTCCATGATAGCCACATGCGCTACCGGTCTGATCAGTTTGCTCCGGTTTGGACGAAGCAAGCTGAGGCCCTGAATCGTGGGATGATGTGCCTCATGCCTGTACGCCACAATGCGAAAATAGGCCCATAACCGAGATTATTAGGATCAGACCGAGGAGTCTTGTTCATTTTAACCGGTTTACTCTCTTATACTGGTACCCAAACCCTAGTGACGTAAAATCCTACCCTAACCAAATTTATCCTTAGAACCTTGGAACCATGAAAAGCTTAAGACAAAGAATAAGCAAGTTAAGTTTCTAGGGCGCTGAACAACATTTTTAAAAACCCGTTAGAAGTGTCTTGACTTCAATGAGTAGCATTCACCAAGATGGAGAAGATGATAGCGCACTTCGTTATCCGGAACACTCATGTCGAGCAACTATGTACTCATCAACCACAGATACATGCCGGAAATTGAAGCACTGTTAAGCTATGAGTTCAATTGAGCAAAACGTCAAAACAACAACATCGACACCGTCTTCTAACTAAAATTCTGTCACAATATTATGCCAATGATTATTCTCTTATCTGAGTGGTATTTTCTGACACCTTAATGTAGCCGGTTATGTATTCGTTTTGTTGAAATACCATAACATCGAAATCGTAGTATTGGAACCTGTTAATCCATATAAATCTTCGTTTTATAGGTAGCCTAGTTAACAATTTTGCTGCTGGCGCATTGCGATATTAGGCCCTTTTAAAATTTATCAGATAAACGTTGGATTGGACGTTCGACTTGTTTGACAGTAGTGTTCCAAATAAATCCCTTATTTGGGCATCATACTGCAAGACCCAAGTCCATCTATTATCATTATGTTTCCTAGGTCAAATGTGCAACAAAAAGGCCATCCCTGATCTCTTATACTGAACAACTCATTTATCACACTAAGACGTTCCAGGGGCGGATATGAGCATGAAATAAAAATAACCGGCAATCTGTTATCATTTTTGCTCACTTGACTACGTACAACTTGAGGAAAGCTCCATACTTTTGATTCATCCTTCAGTATTGGCTAACCACACGGACATTTATATATAGCAAACGAATCAGTGTACAGCCAAACCTCGGTTGTTTTTTAGTTTCGCATTTGATCTTAGAACAATACAGGCGGGACAAATCTTGTCTGACTCCTTTTTCCTGCAAAACTGCGGGAGCTATTTCACATCTCGAGAAAATGCTCAAACGGATCATTTCACAAACTCATTGATGCTTTTGGAAGCGATTCCAACAAAGTTTAGGAGTAAAAAAGAGGACCACCGAGTAAGATGTGCAGGTTTTAGATTTGACCAACTGCCCACGAGGATAGGAATAGGCCGAATTTACAAATGAAACCTTGCTTTGTGACCTGTCAATTTGTGACCCAGAATAAACTGCCTCGCCGTTAGTGATACTAACTTGAAGCGCCTTTTATATGAGCATATGAGCCTTGAACAATAGGCAAGTTTCGGTTTTCCAAAATGCTTACTAACAAGATTGTATACCCATAGAAGAGGTGAATTTTGTGCAGATCACCGATAACATTTGGGCTAATTCTCCCCTAGATTAGCAAATAATCATCCGACAGTACACTCTAGAATGCTTCCCTACTTTTTTCTGGTTTTGCTCCATACGTGGGATGTCTTATTTACAATGATCCGCTGCGTGTATCGCCAAAAGTACTACCGAGGCACGACTCAGATGTTTGGTTTCCGACTTTTTGATTCTCAAAAAAGAACAAGAAATCTGGAAATGATAAAGTTACTGCCGAAGTATGGAAACTTGGTGTTCAAAGACTAAAATATAAAGTCCTGTTACTCGATGATTCATTACAGGTAGCTTTGAGTTGTCCCACAAGAATAAAGCAATCTTACAGTAGTATTTTGCTCATAAAAGAATACATTAACAGGAAACAAATATCTACCGAAAATTAACTTACTTCCCAATGCTGATGAACCCATGGCTGAAATTCTGGTGAAAACTTGAGCATGCATATTTTGAAATAAGCTATTCCAGGGGGATGCGATCTATTATCCACAGAGCTATTACCGCGATGAGACAAACAGTACGCGGGTGTCACAAACGACAAGAATCTCCCTGAGTGTTGTTCAGAAGCCTTAAAAAGCCTTTTGATGCGACGAACAGGAAAGCACTATAGATCATCCTTCGGTTACACAACTTCGACAAAAAACTTGCTTACCTAGAAGACTATTGTTTTCATCCCCTCTTCAGAACGGCGGAAATTGAGACATAGCAAGGCGTGACTAGGCATAGTGGTGGGAAAAACTTTTCGAAATGATAGGGAGTTTTCGATGCTGTCTGCGAGAAGTGGTGGCTAATCGCTATCAGTGGCCTTTGTTCTGTCAGTTTCATTATGTATTTTTTGACTGGGCGCTAGGAGGTATAAGCGTCTCCGAATCCTTGAGTGAAATAAGGTTATTCTATGGCGTCAGCTCGTATCTACCCGCAATGTGTAAGAAAGCTTTTCGAACGTCAAACGTTGTCGTTACTTAACCTCAATTTATTTTAACACCTGATCAAACCGTACAACACAGGCAGAGCTTACTGATGATGATGACTAATGACGCTATGCATAGCCTTCTGATAACTGTCCGGAAGAATCATCATCCATGACCGGACATAGAAGACGTCGAGTATCGTGCTAGCGGTCGAGATTTTTTAAACGGCGTCGATATATGACACTATATGTGAGGACTACAGGAAATTATGCGCATTCATTGAGCAAGCCGAACCTGAAACAAGACCTCTCCAGAGGACAAAACTATGGTTTCGGAAGCATCTTGACCAACATCTGGTCGTTTGAATTGTGTTTTGTAAAGCTCTTGATATCAGATCGCATTCCTAAGCTTTTTCTAAAGGGGCAGTCTATGTGTAATACTGACAAAGACTACGAGGAAAAAGGTGTCAACAGTGTGAGAACAGTACAAGGACCCTGGAAGTTGTATTTTGCCTTGCAACTCTACATGCCTCGAACATGGACTATCAGACCACATGTCAACTTCCTGGTCCAACCATTATCCACCAGCCTTGACAAGAATAACATGAGTGTGTTGAGCTACAAAAGAATAGGTTAAGTTATTCGTCTAAGTGACTATTGAGGAGAAAGAACAAATGGCAGCAATTACTTCAAGGACATTTGTAAGTTGCCTTCAGCTGGGCGAAACCCAACTTTGCCTGTGAAAATGAGCGTGCAAAGGGAGGTTGAGATTCAAAAAGGATGGGATCGTTTGCACCATGACATAAGGTAATTATGAACACTGTTTCACGAAATTTTCCCAACACCAGTTTCCCATCGAGGTAGGTATAGGTAACTCGGGGTGAAACGATGGTTGTATTATTTGATATTTCTAGGCTGCTTAGTTGTAGAACTATATGCACCCCAGAATTTTTCTGATAAATCTAGGGTAAATAATTTGCACCTCTTCAACAAAAAGCAAGGTAACGCTAATCTCTCACATGTTCTGTAGTACGCGTCGAAGAGGAGTCTCTAGTGACGATGCTGCAGCGTGAACTACCGGCTGCATTTTGAAACCGATACCCAAATAGTGTTCATACTTGTGATGTGTACAAAGTTATTATCCTGGCACTTTAGAGCTACACCATCAACAATGTGGTCTGAAGGAAGAGTACAATTCACGCAGTACGTGAACCCTAAATCTGTACAGTGCTTCTCAGCATTTTAACACACACTGCTTTCACTTACAGGACTAAATCTCCGTTGAAAACTATCATTTATCATTTGTGACCTTCCTGCCAATCAGGCAAGTTTCATAGTTTTTAAAGTCCATGATGTGCAGTTCACCACTCTACACGAATACTCCGTGAAACAAGGCTTCTCACTGTTGTGTTGCGCTTAGCTGCGAGGGCTATAACATTTGCTTAAACAGTCAACATTCATAAATCGGAGGATTCTTGCTATCATGATGCCATAATCAGTGTCCTCAGTACGATGAAGGGAACAAGGGAACGAGGAGTACAGCAAATCAGACGAAGCTGATGCAGTGAATATGAACGACAACAGGCCAGATAAGATGCCAGACTACTGGGTTAATTGATGTGATTGCAAGGAAAATTGACACCATTGTGTCACCATTGACACCAGTGTCAGGTTACGTTTATTGTCCAGTGTCAGAGAAGCATAAATCCAGCGGCAGCAACTAAAGCAACCAAACTCAGGACTATATACAGACAAAAACGCACATGTATAGACAATTGACTTAAGAGCTACTAATCTGTCACACACAAAATATTCGATCAATCCACCGGAAACAGGATCGATTTGGCTATTTTCACAGATGGAGCACATTAGGGAATAGCACCGTGCCTGCATACATCAAGTGTGTAAATACACACAGAGACGACTTTTTCCACGCACTACTTTCATATTCATTGCCAATCCAGCTGTTGAGGCTTTTCGTGAAGCCAGTAATGGGGAATCGGAAGCTAACTACTTATTGTTTTGCGTACACTAGTGTGAGTCATCAACTAGTAGCAACAGTTATGCTTTTAAATAAAACCATTACAGTTCAGCACATTTTATACATTTCTCCATCAAAGCCATCTGGATTCGAGTAAGGAGACTCCATCCTAAACGACTGTGGAGTGTTAAAAATAAACGGACATCAGGCTGGAGGTCCAAGTTGTCCTCAGTGTGAGGCCATCCCCCGACTTGTAACATCACAAGGGCTCTGATGTTGACCTCGGGTAATATATTGCACAGTCATATACCTCTGAAAGATACATTCAGGTACCAAGCACAAGGTAAAAAAAACTGATTAACCCAGTGACAAAATACCGATACGAGGGAATCAAAAAAATTATCCTTCCCCTGTCAGTAGATCAGAATTACTCGACATCCGACGTACGTATCACCAGTATATTAATGCTGTGGCTTTCCCGTGGTTACCGTGGTCTCCACATCCGTAACAATCCATGATTTTGGAATCCGAGGGAAAAGGGAAAGGAATAGTTGCCGAATAATAGAATTGAACCAGAATAGCACAAGAATGTTGGCCAACTCACGTAGAAAGTACAAATTCCAACCAATATCAGCAATGTTGTAGGCAAGCCGTGCTGCGGAGTCTACACCATTATTTTTTTTGGACAGAATGAATGCAGCAATATAGGCAATGGTCTGCGGTGCAGAAAATAGTAGGTAGATTGCAGACAGAATAAGTAACAAAAGAGAAGCCCGAACTTGAGCTCGTTCACTTCTGGTCCAATTTTTGGAACTGCGCTTCAATATGGTTCTCCTAATGCGAATAAAGAATGCCAGGTTGAAGACGCCAGTGAGGAGCGGTTGAACAACTGCACAGTTTGAAATCATGATATGATAAATTTCCATAAACGTATTATGAGGGTTGAACCAGCATATTAGCTTATCTCCCACATAGTGCAGGCTAATCTGTGCCGTCACGGGGATGATCAATACAATCGAAAGTAAAATAGTGCAACCTGAAACGTACCAGCCGTAACGCTTACTCATGGTGGCGTACTTCACGGGAAAGTATATTATCATGAAGCGATCAACACTAGCTAGTAACAGAAAGTTCACACTCATGGTACTGGTGAATGAGTAGACTGATCGGAACAGTAAACAAGCTGCAAAGGAATCGTACGGCATGAAATAGTAGACTGTTCCATTGGTAACAAAAGGTAGTCCTTTAGCCGGGAACATCCAAAACCAGGCGAACGAGACATTAGTGCCTGCATTACCCAGAAGCATGAAAGAGATGAATAGGACTTGCCGTGTCAGTCTCTTTGGGTGTGCAAACAAGGCGACAGCAATTGCTACTGAGCCTACAAGTCCAACAGAACAGACCGAAGGAAGAACATATGCCGACCAGTTACCCAGAATGGATGAGATGACACATTTGGTTTGACTGGATTCTGGTAAACCGAGTTCTACCTCTCTGCAGGGTTCCAGCAGATCCCAAGGACTATCTACATAGGGCCAGTTTTTGTAATTATAAGCAGAAAACTCTCCGACGGAAGCCATTCAAGCTTTCACGCACAAGTGGTTGGAGGTTCAAACTTATAAATCCATGGGAGCTACCCCCTTCTCCAAAATGTGAGTGTGAGTACAAAACTTCATTTTTTCATATCCGTTCCGACCCCCAGTTTTCACAGTTTCTGGTAAAATACGAGGCGTGATTGACTTGCGAGTGGCTTGCTTTTCGAAAATCTAAAAGCTTTTGTTCCTGAGAAGATTTCTGATAATTAGTTCGGCATTCCCCCAGTTGATGGGCTATTGTGGATGACAAAGAGCAAAGATTGGTGTGTTAGTGTGTGGAGTGAATTGAATATTATGATTGGTCTCGTGCAACGACTCTGATGTGGCTCACCATATAATATTTAATCCAAAATGACCTCGAAAATCAACTGGTAACTATGGTAACTGGGTGGCAGTGATTTAGGAGGGGGTTTCAGTAAAATGCTTGAAGAAACTCTGAAAAAGGTATGCACGAACCAGCTACTTCGGTAACCAGCATATGTGAGAGCACTGGCGTTGAGGAAAAGAATCAGACAGTCTGCTGAAAATAGTAGTTGTAAACGAATACGTTGAACGATTTCGAAAGTGAAAAGACGCACTTAGATTCAGTCGGAAAAACTGTCCAGTTAATTTCTGAAATATGACTTCTATATTCCTCCCTATTACAGTTCCTCCCATTTTCATTTGTTCAGAAACTTTATTCAATGTAAATTTCGCTCTTCATTCAATTCTCAGGATCCATCTATTTGAAATTTTGAAAAATCTCCTACGAGGTGTAGCGTCCTCTGTGCAAGCCGTAAATAATACTTTCTAAATCATTGACTAATCTGCATTTTCCCACACAACCTTTACCAACTTTTACATGTCTTCCAAAAGAACGAAACCCTAGATTTTAAATTTTTCTAAATTTACCTCCATTTTGTTGTGGTTATAACCCATTAAAAATAATATCTTTTTTAGAATCCATGGTTTTTAAGCGTTCGAGTCAGAAATACAAAGTCCACCTCGAGTCAGTTGAATAATTCAGGGTACTGTGAAACGATAACTCCTAAGATATTCGACTAAACTAAGAGTGCCCCGGATAAAAGAACAAAATTGTCCCATCCAAAAATTATGTGGAGACAATGTTCACTCCATAGGTAATAAATTTTTCTTTCTCTCCCTCGAACAAAGAATTGACGAAAGGTGTGTCATCATAAGTGTGTGGCCGAGCATCGTGATTTGCTGCTAGTCAAAACGGCAGTTCACCTGAAGAGACCACTTTCTGGGTAGGACCTTCTTTTGACTGAGGCAAGTTGCTTCCTGATTAGGAACCGTCTGTAAACGGGTTAGTGCATATAGAATTATTCCAGGAATTAAAACAACAATGTGACATTAAGCCCTACGTTTTAAACCTCCCTCCATAGATTAGCCACCCACATACCGATTGGGGCCTATTTTACAACTAGCGGAGATCCTCACTGTAGTTTACTGAAGAATAATTCCACCTTAGATCTCAGTTTTTACCTAAGGCCAAATCAACGGGTCAAAGCTATCACATGTTGTGATGTGAGAGTTTTAAGGGAATAGCTTAATAGAACACGCGTGTACATGTTGTGAGCCTATGAAATACCATACTTCTGTTTATGCGATATTTCCGAGTATACTGCTTGTTCGGAGTGTGTTATTACTGAAGCAACAAAACCGCAATGCATCATCATCATTGTCACCTTAAAGAACCGCGTACTTGCCGTACAGTGGTTTTGGTTGCCCCGTTTCGTTCACCGATGATTTGGGGAGGGCGGGGGAACCGGAATGCAAGGCTTATTATCTTGTCTTAGCATCACACTTCAAACTACATAAGTGTCGTACAGGAAATTCTTATAAAAACAATCCATTTTATCATATTTCCGGGTTCTTTCTCGGCACGCAAATGTCAAACTGGGACCTGAAATCACAACCCACCTGGATTATCAGAAGCGGTTATTATTTACGTAAGGAACTGCTAAATTATACTACAAGTGTGTTCGGAAGGTACCAAACCTCTGGAACTTCCGCGATGCGCGGAAAATATAGGTCCTCTTCAAGCGTCAGCATAAAAACACAAAATAATCCTGTAGGCTCCGACCAGCTTATTGTATAGTAGAGGGAGACTTTGGTGTTCTTCACAGAGGGTAGCAATTTCTGGGCTTGAAATGAGTGTAGATTTATTGGGACGTTCTTTGATGTGACTGAGTCCTTCCAAATGTTTTCACTGTGATTCCCTTCCAGAATCTCACATTGCGCGCTGGAAGCGACCTCAGGTAGTGAGACAAGAGTTGGTATGACCGCAAGTACTTCTGCAGTGACCTATTCGAGAGGAACACTTCTTTTTTCTGAATCGTTCAGTGTCTCGTGTGAAGTCTTCGTGATGTTTGGACTGCTATTTCACATACTTGCTTGATTTCAGTATGTAAATCATGCCGAAAATATACACATTCAAAAGGCTAAATTTCCACAACATCGTTGTGGAAGTGATGCATTCATGAGACTAACGTTCTCATTCAAAGATTCTAGCCCTCTCCTATGGATGCACCTTAGATCTACTCATCTTACATAACCTAATATGTACCTAAATTTTGCACAGCAGTGTGTATCGCGACCTAATAGGTCTGGACAATATAATTGACAGTTTCAAAATCACAATTTACTTCTCGTGCGGTGAGTGTCACTTACTGCCTACTATGTTCTGATGGGCAGCGCTTTTACATGCATGAAATTCTGATAATTCTCTTGTTCAGCATATGCATGTGATCCATCAGAGGGACGACTAAATCTTGGAACGACTAGTGCATCCCGCGGAATGCACTCACTGTAAACAAGATACGATGGACGGCGCATCCGGTAGGGTCTAAACCAAATCGGTCAGCAAATGAGACTATTTTGCCCGTTGTGTCCCATCGGAGTTCAAGTAGGGTAGACGGAACGTTGCCTACCTGATAATTCCAAAAAAGACTAGAAACGATCGCGGACCGCTGAAGAGTTTTCAGCGACCTCATGAATTGCGTGTTCCGTCTAAACTACTGTACCCAGCTACACACGCATCTGCGAGTAAAGTAATGCTTACAGACGGAAGTCGCAATGAATATTATTACTTGGCCGTTTACCGTAATTCATCTGCCGAGGGTTTTACTATGCTTTGTTTTCTAAATAAATTGCGAGTTCTTTGACACGTTAACCAGTTGTTCAGAAAGAATACACTGTTCCATCATGTCGCTTTTTCAACATGAGCAGCATAGGCCAGAACGTCAGCCTCAGGAATCAGGCGACTCCGATATTCATAATTGATACTTTTGGCTCTTCTACAACGCTATAATGAATAACTATGTTCGGATCAGCTTTTTTTCGTGCTTGAGTCATCCGTTGCATAGGGTATGCGTCGTGAAACAAAGTTTTTCCCCGAATTCGCGGTAGATTGGTAATCATCTGAGCGTGAGTTCGCCCTTGTCATGGAACCTGTACATATGTATCCTAATCAAAATAACCAGCTCAGTCATGGTAAGGGCATACCAGAAAAGACAATATTTTATTTCGTTACAAATAAAGACACTGTATACTCGTTATTTCGGATGTATCATGTTCGCTTCTACTAGCAGCCAGGGGCAAATTGCTGCACAGTTCATCTTGTGCAATAGATCACGCTTTTTCCATTCGGTATTACATCAAAGGTACAAAGTGGCTATATAGATTTGGATTTTCGCAACAGGAAACGAACATCTCAAATCCATTTGGTCCAATACAAAAGTAACGACGAAGACATGACACACGAGTAAGAAAAATCGATCGGTGTTGTTGGCTCCAATGATCTTGTCGATATGGCAAGGATAAGCACATAGAACAATTTGCACCCGTAATTTCGGAGGCGACCTAAACCCGAACCCGAAAACACAGCTGCTGTAAAACCAACGCTTCCAACCTCATAGTTACGGCGAAAAAACTGTACGGCACTGTCGAAACTTGGTGGTTCATGGATGACTTCTCTACTGTACTGCGACCAGGGTTGACAGGATAGTTCAGCTTCAAGCGATACTGCGCCCATGTCCACTGAACAAGTTCGGAGCCAACCAAGTGCACATCCACACACATACAGTACGGTCACGCGTGTGACCAAACGTCATGCCTCAGACGAACCAACACATCATACTTCTAAGGTCCCTGCGTTTTGTTGTCGGTCGGGTCGAGGTGTTTTTCACTTAATTCAAATGAGTATATACGGTCGCACTCCAACTTCGGTTCCCGTCTCATCAAGCACTTTTGAACAACCGGTACCCAGATATTTCGGTGCGAAAAACTTTTGAAGATGGCACATTGACCTGTTCAATAATTATATATATATATATATATAAAATGTTGCGTCATGAGGGATGTATATGCGAGTGGATCCACCCTACAAACATGGAAGTGTAAACGTTTCTAAAACGAGACTGAGCAGCTTGGATGTATTGCGGATTCTGAGACAGCCACCTTGAACAGATGAGATTTCTGTCATCCAAAACCTTCATACTGCTACTATTCGAACACGATTAGTCATTTTTAGGACTTAGCAAATATCACAGCAGCGTTTTACCAAAGGTAATTTCCTTAATTATCGATGTATTGCATTATTGCACAGAATTCGCCAAATTCCACACAAAGCATATATTTAGTTAACTAATTTCGGCTACTGTTAAAACCCACGGTTTATAGTTAATAATGATGATAAATGATTCTGATAAATCGTTTCAGAAAACCATTGGATGCGTTGCCTAAGAGATATTTTGAACTCCTTACAAAAGGACGCTGTTATGTGATCGTCCTCACCAAATTTGCTCTCCTTGTTTACCATTTATGCCTCACCAAAGGGTACTGATGTTGTGATTACCCGCTAACATAAATCCCAAAGACTTCCGAGGGCTAAGCACCGTGCCAAAACACAGGAAGAAGTCTTGGTGATCTACTTGAGTCATGTTTGAAATCCAAACGGGTCTTAAAGCGTTAAAAGTCATTTGCGATCCTAGAAAATTTTCGCCAGAATTCTCTACTCCGACGATTCAGTGCTAAGGCCTTCACCGAGTACACAGGATTAGGATACTTAACCTCAGTCTCATTAGAATTCAGGTATGTCATTTATGCACCTAGTCTCTCCTTCTCATCCTAAGAATCCAATACTGTTTGCTCTAATTATCTACCTATCCAACTTCTACCTATCGATTTTGTGAAGTAACACGCATTAATGATCCTTATTTGAGTCAGGATCCTATAGACAAATTAATGCTTCATTAAATATCTTGCTCGACGAGATGAGGTATCCATTCATCAAGATAGACTGTCATGCAGTATTGGTAGGTTAGTGATCTCTTTCACCCATGAAGTGCTCCATCAAAAGTTCTTATCACCCTGGAACTGATAAAGTGAAGTCACTGGGAAGGTCTTACTTGCTAGTATCTTATCAGCAATTCTGGTATCTGCTGAAATGCAACTAGCTGCTTTCAATGTTACCGTGAATCCAAGAAATACTGTCAAAGTGGGTTTCCTAACCATTGTGAACGTCAGACCGACAAGGTGTTTCTGTAGTGTCCTCTAGTTCATTCCTGAATCAGTGCCATGGAGTGCACATTATTGACTCATCTTCACAAAGTAAGCAACTATTGAAAACTCGTCGTCTCCCCCGGAAAGGACTTCTAGCTGCGAAGGAGTGCTGAGTCCTCGCGACTGACGATGAATCAATCCTCACGGACAACTCTTGATACCAGTTTTAGGGTATTAGACACAGACATATATACACTGCCCCATGGTATCCCTTGTTCACGAAAACCCTGGGGTGCTCATCCCTCCCGCGTTGCAGAAGTTGGATGTTTCTGTTGGGACATGAAAATGAACCCGACTATGTAACGGATGAAAAATATGCCAAAGTATTTAAAATGTGTTGTTCACCTTCCAATATGTGACGTTTGAATTCTGCAGGAGCAACTGATTGTGCAGCCAACGATTCAAAACGAACGACCTGCTAAGAAAATTTGATACGCCCATATTGCATACAATGGACTCGGGTGATTCACTTTTGACATGCATCACAATGATCCATTAAAAATTCTTACTTCAATGAAACTGCCATATACGCTGCTGAAGAGAGATTGACATTAGTTTTCAACACTGACGCTTCGCTGCCGTACAACTAACGTTTATTTGAAAGCCGTATTATGAATAAAAGAATAAAGGTGGATGGGAAAGGGACTTGATGCCCACACCTCCAGATAGTCATTCAGGTGACCTGGGCAGAAACTGACAACGCCAGTGAAATCGATTAGCAACCATATCTTGCAGGTGCACTGGGGATCATGCTAATCCATCCTGGTAAGCAAGTAGCACCGACAGCTACCAAACATCTCGTAATCTCTTTCATACCTCTCTGCTTCTGTCACTGCGAATTGGGTATGGAAAACGGCACTCTTCGGTAAACGATGATTTGGCATGCGCTATACACCGCCTAACCAACGCAGCTTCCGGTGTTGGATAAACTCTTCAGCACAAAACCAAAAACTCGCTCTCTAATCGCCTCGTTACGAATTCCCCGACGCCAACTTACCCGAGCTTTGGTTCTGACACAACGAGTTTCGAACATCTGAAGACGTATCAATTACGCTGATCGAGCGGGCCAGTCATACAAAACAGCCCGCACTCTAGCCTGACACACACTTCCCTCGAGATTCAGAGATATGCCGCTGTTGATTCCCCTTGTGAATCAACGGTGAACAAGGGCAACTTCCCTTGTTTTCTGACTAATCATGAGTAACATGACTTACACCTGTTTATTATGACACCGTTTCGTTTTCTTGCTGCTCGTTTTCCCCCTGTTTTGTTCCTACTTAAGGTCTGCTTATCCCTCAGTTAGTGATGTCAATATTTTGTTGCCCGTCTGTCATTGCTTGCAAGTTCGCCTCGATTGCACCTATTTTTGAGCGCCCACTCCGAAAAAGCGGGCCGAACGGGTATCGAACCTGGATTCTCCGGACGGCAGGCGAACGCGCTACCAGCCACCGACCTGAGGCCCAGATCGGCTGATTATCTTGTCTTACCCATGTATCGCGCCTGCCAGATAGCCCTTGCTGAGCTTTGTTTTAAACGAACGAAACCGCGCAATCCGACCTATCACGCGACACGAGCGGCTGCGTCGACACCGACCGAAAGACAGTCCCTCACATCCCGAACGTACTGACTCCTGCGCCGTTACGGCCAATTCACACTGTCAGACCGCCCCTATATAAATCCGTGTTGCGTCAGTGACTACTTCCCGCTCCTGCTGATTGCGTCATTGTTGATTAACCAGTTCCTGTCAGTCCTCAATATATCATCTGCTGCCCCACGTCTGTCTGCTCCTATTGACTACTGGCTACGAACTGAGTATAATCGTCCTGTGAGATCCATAACCGTCCGGATCTTACAGCCGCTATGACGTCAAATTAGCAAACGCGACCCGAGCCTTCCAGATTCGTGCATTGACCTCATCTGTCACACTAGAATCAGAACTAACACAACCTCCAAAATATGTAAAACGCTCCACAACTTCAAATACCTCTCCCTGGATTGCATGTGGCCGCATGTCCAGGAGCATGACCTTACAATACACATAACCCAGAGCTAATACGGCTCTCCTGTAGGTAAATCGGGAGCTATCGATTATCTTCGTGGGACTATTAGCCTTGGAGACGTGAAATGTCCGAAATCTGTTAGACCAAGCCCAAAAACACATTCACAACCTGCAATGGACATCGCCTGATCGTAATGGAACTTAAGAAATTCGAAATCGATATCACAACCCTGGGCGAAACACCGTTTACTAGGGGGCTTTCGAGGTCACCTTTTAGGCATAGATTCCACTGACGGCGATAACCGAAATGATAGAAACGAAGTCATAGTATCGCTTTCGGGCTACTCACCAGTACCACAAAAATGCCGACTCAGAATCCATGGAATAAGTTCACGGTATGTTTTGCTGAGGTTGGAATTCAAAAACACAAGCAAGTCCTGCATCGAAGCGTTTAGGCTCTTTCGATCAATTCCGAAAACTCACAAAGTCCTGAGGCCACAGGTTCTCGCAAACCTGAGTTCCGGGACTAGAAACATCACCGATGACTCTCCCCTCAAACTTGGCCCTATCAACGCGGTTGACATCAGCGATACGAGATTTCGTATGACAGCAACACATCGGCCCATCCAAGGAGCGGCTATTGTCGTCTATTTCATCTTATTGTTCGCCAGCGGAACGTCCGAGGTGCGTATTGTTCAGGATGTGCGGGCAGCAGAGGAACTTCGTCACTGTTTGAAGGATATCTAAGAGCCTAGAACTAAAACGTTCCAAACTCTCCAGGATGCCAGCGCCGGACGGAAGCAGACGCCATCTTCAGAAATAGATGTATGGTGCACGCACTTCCACAAATTTCTGAACCGACGGACGAGCATCACTAGATCGTAGTTGATGGATTGCCTCAACGAGGGATGAAAATTTGCGGGACCTTCATTGACTGTCAAAGGGATACGACAGGCGAACATGTGGATCCGGAACAGCAAGGCAGTTGGAAAGGTATATTTGAGGAAGAACTATTTAGGTATGGTGGTCTGACTGTGGATAATGCACTTCTACAACTAACCAACACGACCTGGCAGGAAGAAGTTTCACCTGAATTCACGAATACTGCGGTCGTACTATTCTACAAGTGGAAAGGAAATAAAAATTTACCTGACAACTACAAAGCCATCAAGCTGCCAAAGTGCGCGGTTTAACTCCTGACACGAAGGCTACGTAACCGCCTGACACCTGGAATGGTGAACGAATATGTGCCTGAATAACAATGTGGATTCCATGCTGGTTGCAGTATTTACCGCACAACAGTTTCGTGAAGTGTGTTGCTAAAATCGGTAGTCGTTCCATGACCTTTTCATACACTTCACAAAGGCTTTCGCCTCCGTCAACCCTAAAGCACCGCACACAAATTAATACGGCTGCGCATCAGCCTACTGCGCAGCAGAACAATCATGTCAAACAGGGCCGTGTGATTACACCTAAACGTCTGAATCACGTCCGATTTCATCATATGCCGGAGAAAGGTCAAATAGGGACACAGAAAGTTCACAGCCACTCCATAGCCGTACACAAGCGCACAGACAGCCATCTATGATCAACCGAGAACCAGTGTGGGTGTGTGGGAGACACACTGGTTGGTTGACAGCGGATCGACCATCAAATACGGTGACAAATGAATCATATATATAGAAGTTTGTAATTGCGTTAATACACAGTTCCTTCAGGTCGTCTTCTTGTCTTGTGACTATAACCCAGTAGCGTCAGGGCAGGTGAAGAGATACAACACAAATCAAATACGTTTGCTCTGCATGGTTGCTCGAGGAACGGTTGCGGAGAAACCGAAACCTGAAGACCAAATGGCACATCTACGGGGCACTAGTTCTCTCTATCCTCTTGTACCCATTGAAACATCAACCATGTGCAGGCGAAGCATCCAATACTCAGGTGTTAAGCTTATATCAACGCGAGAAATTATTTTCGGTGACTATCGTTGTGCAGCTTAAGCTGAATAGTGGTTAGCGTAAGCTACCTATATGTATGAGCAAATACTAATCTTCCAGTTGCACCGACTGGAATGACGACAATGGTTATAAGGCATTGACAGTAGTCCTTTCCTCCACTTCCTCCGGTCTTATTCCCTCTAGATTATAAAGGATACACCATTTTACGTTCCATTTCGTGTGTTGCTACTGCATTGCCCGGCAGAGCAAACTGAAATTCAGGGGCCACAGAATAATGCTTAATGAAAGACAAGATTATTCAATCCAGAAACAGCAGTAGAGAAACCGAAAAACACCGGACACCTTTCCTGCCGGCCCCGGTTCAACCGCAAATAAACTGTAAGCAAGCAGTCGACCGGAGACCATATTATTATCCCCAGATCCCAATGGACTACAGTCGTTGAAGGAAGATATGAACACATGGCTTACCACTACTGGTCGGTTCTCTCTGCATCCGTTTCTCCTTAACCGTAGATGTCAGGGCTGTCAAAATCGGCCAAAAAATTTCACGATCATCAAGTCAGGACATCTGTACAACCGATGCAGCGTCCTTGCCGACCATCACTAGATGAGTCCATCATGGAACAACAGACCAACTCAAGCTATGCAGTCCGACTTGGTAATGTGAGGAACATCTGGATTTTTCAATGGAGATATCGTCCCCTAAATGAAGCTAATGTATGCTGAAAGGTCGAGAAGCACTGCACCGCTGTTCTCCCCTTATGGCACCTATCGAAACTCCAGCGAGTCCCGAGCCTACGACCACACTGCTATAGCTGAACACTTGACTATTCGGTTACCAGCAGCTGATCATATGATCATTTCACACTTAGATAGGATATAGCGTTACTCATCCCTCAATCAGGGAATCGACATCATGTGGTCATGTGTTGACGGCTTCACTTGTTTTGTACAGTCATTCTTCCTCTGACCTTCTAATGCTTGGACCAGAGTGGCCAAACGGTTAAGCATTCCAACTGCTAGCCGGGAGGTCGTGAGTTCGAAACAGCTTGGAGTATCGAAGATGCGTGTTGATTATCATTCCTAATAAGGATGAGACAGTGCTTCTCGGCTTTTCTGCACGGACAGGCTTCATTCACAGGGGCAAAAAACTCAACTGAAAATTCTCCCCACACGAACAACAATCTATAAGTATCCCAGAAGAATGACTTCACAAGACCATTTGAACTTGCTCGAGACAAGTCACTCTGAGGTTCAATCAACGGGTGACCTCGTAATGTGGATTCCGTAATTGAAGGATGAGTGGCGCTATATAGTAAGTGTGAGTTAATCACGCGCTAAGAGTTCACACTATTAGTCGGGATTCCTAGAGGCCTCTTTTGCAACGGCTTGCACAGGAATCTGGATGGACAATCATTTAGTCCAGACATATTCACGAAAAACCTTATTTTCTGTTTCAGGGCGTCGTCTGCGAAAATCCCCCAGTTCCAAATTCGGTGATACACCAAGTTTCGCTTTGGGCGAAGATAACAAAAATGTCTGGTCCATTCGGGTTTACGGCACACGTTTTGCGGAAGTTCTCCATAGAATGTTCAACTCACCAGTGCGCCTGAAAACCTCAGTTGACGTTCGCGTTCGGATTCACAAGCCACTAAAAGATTTGAGTGAGCCTTACTAAAACCAAGGAAATGCGGCAAATGACAAGAGTAAAATTGGCATTTCCGCCGTACATTCATGTCACGGTGTTTGTGTTCGCAAGTTAAATTTGAATGTGAAGAACAAAAAGGAGAGCTCATGGCTACTACATCCGCTTATCCATTGAGAGGCAATTACATATTCGGGCACAGTGCAGAACTGACTCCTTCAGATTATCAGGAGGTAACATGAGCAACGATGTCGTACGCATTGAAAAGAAAGCGGACGCCTCGGGGAACATAAATGCAGCTAACACGGTGAAGTGAGTAGAGTCCTGGTACGCACAAACTGTGTGAATAGCACTCGCAGATATTGTACCACGAAGTTACCGGAGTGTTTATTATACCAGTGTGAAGCTACAAGCATAAGTTAGAGTGTGGTAGCACTACAATATTTCAAATGACGATGAGTGACAGCAGTCATTACCATTACTGGCAGAACGAAACTTCTCACTGGTTTGCGCATTTACTTAAGATAACGATGTTCTTGAAAACTATGTGGACGAAGCTCACGAGGTAATTAAAACAAAAAGGTGAGCGTAATAAAACAACCGACCTCAGAGAATAATCGCACGAACAACACGCCTTCCTAACGCTAACGTTTTTATCCCTTATATAACTGAGCGGAAGATCGTGAGAAACTAAGAGTAGAACGAATCTAAGATCAATCGGATTTGGGAGCCTCCTGGAACGAGGAAATGCGATCATAAATAACTAGCAAACCATGAGCAGGACTGTAGTGTACTGTGTATAAGCTAGTGTTGACGCCATCAGATATCGTACTTTTTGGGTTGTATCGCAAAGTTGGATACAACAGTCATGCCCACTTATGGCAGTATCAACAATAACATAACATGCTTGGATTTTTTTATATTAGCAGCGCAGATACTGGCAGCGCGTAGTTCTACCAAATCAGAAATAGTTGTGGGAGCATGCATCATACGACACACATCAAGCACAAAAAAATACATTCGATCCAAGCCGACAAGCTGCGATACGGGAACCATTGACAGAGTATTGCACATTGGGGAACAAATGATAACAAGAGAGAAACAGAAGAGAAAACCACGTGTAGAAAATAAGCTGAATACTAGCTGTCGGTTCTACGCAGATAAATTGATTGGGAAAAGATCGGCACCGAATGAAACGACTAGGTAGGATATATGTAACTAGTGGAAAAGAAATGTGCTAAAAATGATGAAATCTGAAGGGTGCAACTAGTTGCTCAAAGGCTCAAAATTAGAGTACATTGACCAAAGCATCACCTTGACCGTCGCTCTTCAAACTAACGATGTTTACATCGAATAGCCGACTCGAAAGACCATGTAATGAAATCAAAGCTCAGGGGGGGAAAGAAGATCATATGCTGCTTCAAGAGCACAGCCAACACTCCATGCCTGAGCGGCGCAACTGTCCCGACAGAACTATAATTTGAGGAAAAATGAGGATAGGGTGTTAAACGAGGCAAAAGATCGCCATGAATATTTTGCTAAAGCAACGTTCTTCCTTGACTTAAGTGCATTAAAATACCATCCAAGTGCTGCAAAATTAAGCTTCCAGAGTACGCAAAAATGTCATGAAGAGGTCACGAATGGTAAGCCTCCAACCTATGGACATCGTAGTGAGGTTGATGTGAGGTGATGCCCAAAGGCTCAGACATATGAAGTCTTTCACACTTATTGAGGTCTATAAGGTAGGTGTACACAAAATCTGTTGCGTGACCCGGCGGCTAGCGGTGGCTTGTTGGCCCCAGGGGAACGCGTTCGACTAGTCTTCAGGTGCTAGTAATTTGAATTAGGTGACCCAGCATTGTCAGTTAGCTGTCAAGTGGTGAGGGGGTTGGAAAAGGAGCTATGCATTGAAGGCAATAGCTTGGATGCACGAGCGCCGTTGAGGGCGCGACTGGGCCATATCTGACAATGTCTCTAGCCATTGATGTGGCCCGTCTCGGGGTCCCCATCCAGGAAGACGGCAATGACCAGCGCAGCTAAGTTTGCTGGTAATGGCTTTCATACTTCGCTGCCAAGTCATTGGTTGACCACCTCTGACTCTCTTCCACCCTTCACATGGTTGTGCGAAAAGAGCCCTTCGAGGAAGTCGGTCGACTGGCATGCGCAACACGTGGCCAAGCCAGCGCAACCTATGAAGCGTGATCAGTTCATCTATCGAGGGGGAGTTATTTCTCCCAAATACCATTCGACGTACTTCAGAATTGCTGATCCGGTGTTCCCAAACCATCGGTGAACGAAACTGCGGCAGCTACAACCACAGTACGACGAATACGCGTTTATTACAGCTGACAATGATGATGATGAATTAGGTGACAACACGGTTTCCTAGACAAATAACCTCGGTTCGTAAGATCAGTCCACCAGGTCCACTATTCCGGTGGAATACTTGATAATGAGTAAGCGATGGGCTTGTGACAATCGACAATAGTCCTGTCCTTACGACAGACATGGCGCCCGGTCAATTGCTTCCAACGACCTCAGCTACTCACGAGTAGGCAGAAAAATCCGGATATTTCAATGTTTCAACTCAGGAGTAACGACTGTTTTAACAGGGATTACTGTCCCGAAACATCGGCCCATCGTGTTTCGCGGGTACTACCGTGAATTGCACCCTTTATTGGTTAAGCCAAAACATAGCCTTTCGAATACTAAAATTAAGTTGACAAAAGAATATCGACAAATATACGGCGGGGTGAATCTTCCGTAAAATTCGCAGGACCACGCTAATGGATGATAAGTGGCTTGGGTGAAGACCAATTGAGGAGAAACTGCGCTGTACTATACGACAAAAATGAAAGTGGACATAACGGCTCACACCAAACAGTATCTATGGACCATGTTTTGGGCAACACTGAATGTCTATTAATTCCCATGTAGATGTGGCGTTCGTTCTATCACTTTACACACTACATTTCGTTCCCTTATAATGATTGTTTATAATTGTACTCATTAAATTATCTTCCTGACAATAACGTTACATCGAGAAAAAATCAATACTGTCACTGGAAATCAGGATAGTAAATATATAAACAGCTCCGGAAAGCCGCAATCACAATCGCACGGAGATTCGAAGTTCCCACTCTCAGTAAGATTAGATACTACTTTGTTGCATTTCCTTCGTTAGATTATCCTGACCCGGATGTCCGAAGGAAAAACATCAGATGGAGTGACGCGCTGCGAAACCCCGTTCGCATTCTGGCAAAATCAGTAAGACGAAACCGACCACTTTCGCTGACTGCAACGCTGACATCTGCGACCAAATGAATCAATTCAATCAACCAATTCAATCTAAAAGCTATAAACTGTGTGCCATAGGCACATCGGTTCCAGCTGTCACAGTTTCGATCACCGGAAAACGAGAAGGTGAAACATACAACGAAGCCTTGGAGGCGAAGGCATGTTCATTTTGTTCGGAAATTGGGTAGCTACAAATTGAAGGCACGAGCGCCACTGGCCACGCGATTAGGCCATTTCCGCCAATGCCACTAACCACTGGTGATTCGAGTCCCGGGGTCTCCATCCAGGGAGGCGGCAGTTGGTTAGTGTTTTTGTACTCCGTTGCCAGGTCATACATTGTCCACCTCTTGGTCGCTTCCACTCGGCACAGGGCTGCGAGAAAAGAGCTTTGTGAGGCAGACGGTCTTCCGGCATGTGGAGTACATGTCTTAACCAGCGCAATCTATGAAGCGTGAGTAATTCATCTATCGGGGGAGAGTTTTTCCTTCCCAAGACCATCCGGCATACCTCAGCATTGCTAATCTGTTCCCACCTGAACAATGCTGCGGAGACACCGATGGTCAAACACTAACATCTCCCATATGACCTACGCGCGTAGGGGCCATGTCCCTGATCGGTAAAGCAGTATGGATCACACCAACGCAGTATAAACTCTTCTCTTGACAGACAAACTGACGTAACGTCAGCGCCATAGGTATCGGAGTTTGGCAAAAGTTGCCCTGGCCTTTCCGATTCAAGAAATAATGTCGTCCCCAGCCAGTCCACCGGAACTTATACAGCTTCCCAGGTGAACAAATTTATCTACCATGTCGATTGGCTCAACTGCAAGCATGAGGTGTGGGTTTGATCCCACCCAGTCTTGTAGCAGCACTTTACAGTTTGCAGGAGTGAAGCGCATACCAAACCACGCAGCAGAGTTTTTAGGTTATTTAGAATCGTTTGCATCTGGGAAGGATCTGAACCACGCACAGCAATATTGTCTGCATGCTCAATGCCTGTGAGGGAACGCCCCGGACCTGAGACGTCTTCAGGTGTTCGACAATCGTTGTCTCAGAACCATAGCTCGTGTGGGTTGGTGTCGGCGAATCCGTAACGA